CCTTCATTTAATCTTATTACTAGAATTATATTATTATATCAAATTATACATACATGATCGAATTGACTTAAATAAACTGAGTTAAAAAACTGCAATGTTAAGTTTGAACTTACAAAGTTTTTTTAAACTATATTTATTGCTTAGATCCTCGTAATAAATATATTTTTTGAACGTAACTTCCGTAAGTTTCATATATTATTATTCTATGGTAAGCCTTACGTTAATATAAATTATTAGTTAATAACCATTTAAAAAAATTTAAATTATGCCAGCAAGTTCGAGGCAAATAATATTAGTAAAAAAAAACTAAAATACACGCTTTACTTTTTTCCGGTATTTTTCTGAGGAAACGCTTTCACTTGATACCCATATGATGGGAACGCATAAAAAATAACTAGTCCTCCATTTTTGAGAGTCCATCATATTGGATTTAAAATGACGTCATTTATTTAACCATACATTGTCATCCAAACTAAACGTGTATGTAAAACTTCAGCTCAATCGAAAAACGATAAGTTCTGTCAAATTTAGCTTCCATTTTTTTACATAATTACTGATGAAGATGTAAGCGTATTATAAATGACTATTACTAAGTTAATACATTATATATGCAGTAACTTTACTTTTACATAACTTATTTTTGCTTTTATAAATTAAGGCGATTTTTGTCTCAATCAAATACGTCTGTAATTCAGTTGATAATGTTATGATGATCTACGAGCGATGAATTATGACCTTGTAATTGTGTTAAAGAATGACCGATTAAAATGTCAAGGTGAATAGACGAGTCAATGCACCGACTTTTACATTGGAAATATATTAAAATATACATATTATATCTCTTTAACTCTACCTGTCGGTTCATTTATTCCTTAGTGGCTTTGAAAAGTTTACTGCCAAACATGGGATTCCAGCCTTATTTGGGGATATTGGCTATAGTTGCCACGCTTATCTGGTGGGTTGACAACCACAGTTCTTCATCAATTTGAGTCGTTGTCATGAATATGCTGCTCCTCATCTCCTGTTTCATTTCTCTTTATGTATTTTTACGACGGCCACATGAGGATACGGTGTAGTGGATTCTTTTTCGTCGCCACTACACGGCTGTAGATAGATGAGTGTCTACCACAATACACTTTCAATTTAAACGTTTGTAATTATTTATTAATACTAACTATTTTTCCGCGGTTTCAATCGCTTTTAATTAAAAATTGACGAAATTTGTACTTGCAAAAAGTACTATCTGTTTTATTTCTATAAATTACACATCTACTAGAGAACACAATCGCGAGCATGTTTTGCAATCAAAATCGCATCAAAAATCTCGTAATCCCGGGATCCCGGAGCTATCCCGGGATTAGACTGGTTTCTAATTGGGCTCAAATGAAAAAAACTTGAGTAATTTCTTAAAAAATGTTTTTAATATTGTTGCATAACACAAGTCACAATAAAGTAAGAAAGAAAATACGAAATACAAAAAAAACTATACTTTTGCAAAAAATCAAAAAGTCAACATAAAAAAAAACTATTTAGAATTCCGAAAGTACAATCGCAGAAATATCAAAGCATCCTCAATGTTTGACTTCCAATTCTGTTTCGTAGTTTATTGCCAACATAAGCAGCAGCTGTAAACGCGTGCTTAGGTTCTATGCTGGTTGTAGGAATAGACAATAGATACTTATGTGCTGTTTCTAAGTGATATTCCACGAACTCTTCCATATTCGAACAGGCTTATTTCACGTCTTTGCCAACCCTGATTAATTTTGTACTTGTAGTTCAGGATCTGAAGATTTCATACTATTATCAATTTCCAGCTGCAACTTTTTTTTTAATATCAATTGGGTTTGGGAGGTTTCTGACCTTAGCTCATTATATGTTTGTGATTCTGACCTTTTTTCTTCTTCCGTGTCATCTCGGCTATTAAGTCTTTTAATAATACTCTATATTTGCTTCCTCACTAAAGCCTGTGTAGGAACTGGAAATAAGTCATGGCATTCCGAATCTAATAACTGATTTTCATCATATTTTCGTGGATTTTGTAAATAATTCAACACACCAGTTAAATCATCACTTCTTCGTTGCTTTATACGTTCCACTAAGGATGTTTTAATTTCTTTGGCAAGTGCTGAGTTTAAAAGCGGCAGAGCTGTGCATAAATATATGTTTTTGGTTGTAGCACGAATGAATCGGCTCGGCCAGAGAAGGACCACGTCCTCACAGAATAGCAGCTTAATACTGCTGTGTTTCTTATGGTGAGTGTAGAGATCTGGAGACCCTTTTTTACTGCAAACGAGGCATTCCATCTTAATCCTTAGGGGTGACAACGCATCTGCGTTTTGATTCTTAATCGAGGATAAATGTAGATATCTATGGGCCACTGCATCCACTTACCAGCAGGTGGACTGTGTGCTCGTTTTTCACACCCTTATTCAATAAAAAAATTGTATCTCACCGACAGATTGTTTCTACTGTCAATTTGATTGGAGTGCTATTGGGGTATTACGTATTAAATTTAAATCAAATTAAACTACCTCGTTTCAAAAATTAATTATTATGTAATTTATAAATTTTGCAACATGTCCACGAAATCACCAACACTAACAACATTATTGAGTCTCTAATCCAGGATATCAAATATTTAGATTTTAAAATTTTGCAATCTTTTCAAAATGTCTTTGCTACAATAGATGTGTGAGCGAAAAACTCTTTCATTGTTTTGTTCCAAAATTCCAATAAATCTGTAATCCTGTGAGAAGTATGTTGTATGTATTTTATAGATATGCTAATGCCTACTTAGTAAATATCTTAGGTCAGTTTTTATCATGTTTCTATAAATGACTGTACTCAGCCGATGGAGGGAGAAAGTCGGAAGAAAAATAATATACGAATTTCGATTATCCACCCCGTCTGAGATGGATAGATAAACAAACGTTTCTGAGTATCCACCCTGGGATGGAGTTTTTATGGCGGTTAAAGGGAATAACCCGAATTAAGGGATTATAAGACTAGGATCGCTTTATGTAAGTGGTTTTCTGGTGGTTTTACAAGTTGAATCTGGTGGGGAGGTAGTTTTAATGTTGGCAACACTGAGTTTTACCCCATTATTATAGAATTATTGTTCTACCCATAAAGAACAAGATACAGATACAACATAGAGAACAGGATAACGATCGCTACGTGCTAAAGCATAGCCCGCCTGTCCCTGAAAATTTGTAAAATTTGTAGCCGCGCTGCCGTCGGTAAGTAGTATCTGCAAAGTAATTTTTTAATTATTGACAAAAAGAAACATTAAAAAATGGTGAAATATTATGAAATAATAATAATAATAATAAATCAATAATAATTTACGTTTATACGGCAATTGCCGTATCATAATGGCAATCCGCGATTTATCTATTTTCAGAAAACACAGATACGGCAAGCCTCTCGGTGCCACATCACAAATTACGGCAATTGGCCATAAGGTAAAACAAAACGTTTTGTTCACTAATGTAATGAATGAAACGAAACATATATACCACATGCGTAAAGAAACGGAACTGAGAAAAGCTTCATACAACTCCGCTTGATGTGATAGATTCTCTCCAATTTAATCTGTAATTGATTATAATTTATTATTTTTAATGTGGTAGATAGATATTTCATACATACAAACACCTCTAAACATTTATTGAATTGCTTGAGGAAAATTTCGCGAATATTTTGATTTCGAAATAAATATTAGTAAAGATACTAATATATTAAAACTTGTGCCAGATTGTTATTATGTCATGCGAATATTTTTATTGGAATTTTTAAAAAAGGAAACTATTAAATTTAACATTTACCGTGATTAAAACTACTTTTACGGATTTTATCGCGTTTATTTTTACTTTTTATTTTTAATACCCGACGTTTCGGGCGCTTTCCAGCACCCATGGTCACGGGGGACTGAGATGACTGACGTCCCGATGTCATTGTTAAACCCGGAGTACCTTCAGCTTTTTTAATTATTGTTTATGGTCCGATCTATGCAAAATGAACTGACTATGTCTTGAGGTCTTGCAGTGGTATGCTTGGGTTTAGTTTTAATTTTATTGATTATAGGATCCCAAGCAGGTGGTAGTACCCAGCCTCCTTCTCTATTGAAATTAGGATGTTTTTTAATTTCAATAGCCTCACGTATCATCCTTGGTAGGAATCGGTGTTCTTTCGCGAGGATTTGTGGTCTATCAAATCTGATGTAATGGTTGGGGCCGTCTAGGATATGATCACAAACTGCAGACCTCCCGGAACGTTGATGCTTCACATCCGCTATATGTTCTTTTACGCGGGTCCTAATTGATCTTTTGATTTGTCCTATATATAAAAAAAAGAGAAGAAGTGTAGGTGCGTCCCTCTTCCCTTTAGATGGAGTGACAACCTGGTAAGTCATGCAGGAAGTCGATGGATGCAGGTGGCTCAGGACCGTGCTTTGTGGCATAACTTGGGAAAGGGTTATGTTCAGCAGTGGACTTGTGAAGGGCTGTAATGATGATGATGATAATGAATTGATGAAAAACAAAAAAATTAAATGTTTTATTTTAGTATAAGTATTTTGTAAAAAAAATTAAGAGCAAATACAGTTATAAAAATTAGATACACATGAATCTGTAATACAAACGACAAGAAATCTTTACAGAGAAGAAACATATGAGAAATAGACATTTTTAAAATAAATGAATAAAAATACGGCGATTCCACTTTTTTGTTGATTTTAAATAATTTGGTGACTTATAGGGATGATTTTTGTTAAAATATCCCAAATCTGGGGAAATTTCAGACCATAAATATTGATAAATTATTCTGCAAAGTGGCAACACTGATTATATGTTCATGCATAGAGTAGAGTAATGCTTATGAATCAGAATCCTACAACCATAGATTACTGTATGTACCTACAACCTTATTTGTTATGTTACAATTTACAATGTTTGTGAATTGTGATTGTGGTTGTTGTTTTTGCGAGGTAAGATTCAGGTATGGGACCTCCTAAAAAAATTAAAAAATATGACTCAAAGCCCGGAGCTTCAGGTAAGTTATCGTTACATTTAATTATTAATTTAATGTTTTCGATAAGTAATTGACTTTTAAAAAAAATGCTTTAAGTTTAAATATCAGGGATAAAATAACTGAACCCGACGGTTTTATATTTATTTTTTATAGATTGTTATATAATATTAAAACGATATTTTATATTTTAAGGAAAGAAAAAGAAAATTGAAGAAGAAATAACTATAGATCTTGTTGATGATGACAATACTGAGAATGTTGGTGTGCCAGTAGCAGCCACACAAGATGCAGAAAAAAATGACCAAGTCCCTGAAGATGAATTTGGAGCCAAAGATTACAGGTATTTATGAAATTGCATTGTTGTTTAAAGCTGTGTAGCTCATTGCTGTCTAATTAATTCATGGATTTTGCATTCAACTTTATTCACAAAAACTATGTGGAATGTAAGCTACCTGCTCACATTTTATAAAAACTACACTGATTATTTTTTATATCTAATTTTACCATACATTTCCCACATAATTTATATAGACATTCAGACAGACACATAATGTAGTATGCATAATGTCATGTTCCACTTCACAGATGATCTGTATGCATTTTCTATGATTTAAATGCTACAGGTTGCAATTTTATAAAAAATATATATTCATTTGATTTACAGATAAGTACATAATTTGAAAGATAATATAACATAATAGACTATTTTAAAACTTTATGTATTTCAAACTATGGTTAATTCTAAAATCACTGAAATAAGAGATACTGCTGCACTTGAAAAATGGGGATTTTGAAAAGTAAGTTAAAGATAAATGTGAATAGGTGTGTAAAATTTAAGTGGTTTATGGAACCTTATAGAATTGTTTAATGATACTCAGTTAACTCTCAGCATCTCAGCGGCATGTATTTCTGTTACACTACTACCTGATCGATTATAGAGACATATTACATATTTTCCATTTTATGCTAAAGTCATATAAAATATAATATTAAGTTAAAATCTGCGTTGGAGGATCTGTCTGTTCCTTTGCCTGTATGCTGCAAATCTGTTGAAGACTGCAGTTTCATTTCCCATCTTACAGTCATGAGATTAATAACATAATCGGAGAGTTTTTGTGTTTTTATTCAGTCTTGCAGACTTAGCTCCGACCACATGGACAGTATCCAAAAGCTTATCATTCATATCGTCCACTGCTTTGCAGTCTTCTGGGCACTGAAAACGGTTTTGTAACTCAAGCTGAAAGGTTTCAGGACCTTGGATTAGAGCACAAGGGGGATGGGGCGTTGACTTCATTAGACTAGACGTTCCAACTTAACATTTAGGTACAGTGTACTTCTAACCATTAGGTAATCGCTGCCAGTTTTTACCCTCCAGATCACTGAGACATCACTGAACAGTTGCCGCCTAGTCGTCATAATGAAGTCAATCTCACTTGTTGTCGAACTGTCGGGGCTCAACCAGGTCCACTTTCTGTGGGTCCGGCCTGCTTCTGGAAGAAAGAGTTCATCAAAAAGAGTCCCTCTTTCTCCATGAAGTCAGCCAGCTGCTGGGCCCTTGGGTTCCGTTGTTGTTTTTGCTGATTATGCAGCGGTAAATTTCCCTATCTGTGTGTTCTATGTGTTCCTTTGCTGTTGCTTGTGCAGTGTGTGTGATTTTCTTTGAAAATGTAAACTAATAAAGGCACTCAATTCAAGTACATCTAAATCATGAAAAGCTGTTTCCCCTCTGATAATTAGATCAAATTTTCTTAAATTTTTCATTTGTATGCTCTACTATTTCTTCTTACATACCTTTAGTGAAAAACATGCTACACAAATCCAGGGACTTTGTATTTTCCTCGAAAGTTAGGTTTGAGACGATTGGTTTCTGTATGATGTTATGCTGCAGTGTCCTTTATATTGAAACTGGAGGATAACTAGACTAACAAAACAGGTTCTTACCAATGTAGTTTCGGAGCATTGCCTATGGATTATGCCATGTCATTTTCTTCTTCAGTGAATTGAAGGTTAGGCCTGTAGTCACCTCTACTTCTAAGTCAGGTGAAGTAGGCCACCTGAAAATATTATACATTGCTGCAGTCTTCATTCGGAAATTCGGCTACAGTCCATAAATTTTCAGAATCCGATTCAACTTCCTCTAACAATTGACCTATATCCTTAGCATTTTATTCATTTTTAGCCTATAAAATACAAAAATTTTAAAAGTTACCTAACCAGCTAACCAAGATCAGATAGACCGTATGCCAAAATTAATTACCTGTAATTTTTAAACTCATGTACTTTTGGAGCTGCCGAGTGAAGGCGTATTGGCGGGGAAAAGGAAAAAGCACATAGGCTCATAAATGCATCGCATGCATAGTAATGGAATCATTTGAAAAACAAAACCGTTACAGTCTGAGATTGACGTCAGGTGATTAAGGGTTAAAATGAAAACAATTTAAATCCACCATATACAAAAATGTACATAAGATATTATTATATTCAATTATTTTTATGTAAAGCCATTAAATTAATTTTAATATGTCAATGTACACTACATTATAAATTTAATATGGAAAGGTTGCTTGAAGAAGATCACTTTTAGCAATGAAGTGTACCATTTTCAACTCATTAAAATGCATAATTCCTCTTACTTTAATATTTTTTGTTTTTGGTGTACAATAAAGTTATATTTTTTACTCATTTTAGGAATCAAATGACTTTAAAACCAGACAATGCCAGCCGTCCATTGTGGGTTGCACCCAATGGGCACATATTTTTAGAAGCCTTTTCACCAGTTTACAAGCATGCACATGATTTTTTAATTGCAATAGCAGAACCTGTTTGCCGGTATGTACAATTTTAAATTAATACTAGCTTTACTAGTTATACCCCATATCATCCCATAGGTGCTGCAATCTATGGGGTGACCTATGTTCAGCAGCGAATTGATAACTACTATTAGAGCCCGATGAATGCTAGGCTCTAATGGTAAATCAATTGGTCCACCTTTATACATTTCTTTCATTATAAAAACTTTGGCATATTTGCTGGCTGCATAATAAAACTATAATACTCAATGTCTTAGTTAAACTAAGTTTTTAATTTCTTTTTTGGTAGCAGAAACGATAGTTAGTTCAATGTTTTATTGTTGTCAGTTCAAACCAATATTTATATACAAATAAATACAAAAGACCATGAAAAAGTTTTAATCGGAATCTAGCACTTTAATAATTAATGAAATTAAATATTAATTAATAAATTAATTAATAATTAATTTTATCAATTATTTAATTTATTGATTTATGGATATTTATACAATGAAAATAGAAAAAAGACCAATTTTAAATTATTTTTGAAACTTATTATGACAAGTAGATTTAGTATTATTAAGACTCAGTTAAATATTAAAAGTAGAAAATTAATTTTCTTTGCATGCTGTACTTTTGAAGTGACGGTTAACAGATCGCAGTCATTTGAGGTCATAAATGTTCTTATCCTTATTTGAATCGTGTTGTAAAAGCCAAGTTACCAATAACCAATAACACCAATGAAAGAAAGAAATATTAATCAAAAAGTAGTTTGTTCTGGTTTTTTGGAAATTGCTTAAAATATGTAAGAGGCTCATAAAGAAAAATTTGTAGCCCCAATGTATGGCAGCCTGTCTGCCTGGAAATCTATGATGCAATTATGACTATTCCTTCCTTACTCGTATCTATACTCTTCTTCGTTTTTTTGTGTAAGACTACACTTTTCAAAATTAATTACAATAAATGTAGTTTGTAACATGTTAAAAATTTAATGTTTTGTATGGTATAGATCCAAAGAAGCTTTTGAGTTTCCGTGTGGCCGCCACGTTAATGAATAAACCATTTTGTCCCATAAGTGAGAAGATAAGGCCAGAAAAGTCTTATGATCACCATTAACTAATGAGTGTTTTGAGGTGTGATATAAACATTACATTTACTGTGTAGCCGTGGCGTAAGTATATCCACTACCCCATATTATCTGACAGGTGCTGCAAGTGGTGACAGAAGCAAACAAATCAGGAGGTGGGGCAGCGCCGTCTTTCTAATAACAACTTAAAATAAAAAAACTGGCATTTGCCAAGCGTGGATACTATGGCAAATATCCTGCTTTTGAGGCAATTTTTGGGGAGACCAATATTCAGCATTGGACTTAAATAAGTTGAAACAGTTATAACATTACAGTATTAGTAGTATTGCCAACACCAATCCAACTGCTAGTTATGGTAATTATAGAAGAATATTTTATAACCTGTTAGCTCGCGAGGCTCGCGAGGCCAAGCGTAATATGACACTCCCGTTCGCTCGCGACCTTTTTGGCGGGAAAATTTGCAAATTAGCAAATTTTTTGCTATATTGCAAATTTTGCTATATTTTCACTTTGAGACAATATTTATGGATAAAACTTACAGGAATTCTTGTTGAATGTATAAACTATTGAATAAAATTATTTTGGTTGTTAGAAATTATAATAAAATTCATAAATTACCCTTTATAGCATAAGTAGTAGTATATACTTCACTTTTAGTCCCAAAATTACTACTAATTTGAATTCTACACTTTTGTTTTTGGAGAAATTTATATGAAAATGTTTGGAAACATGTATATTTTTATGTTTTATGTGTTTCCATTCGTTACTCATACCAAAATATTAAAATATTATAAAAATTAAAAAAAAAATAATATTTTATCTGTATGACATTTCGAACAATATTTCTAAAATATGTTTGTGTGAATTTGAAATAAATACAACGTCATGTTATTTGAAATATATACGAAAACTATTTTTACTTACATTTTACACTAAAATTTATTTTTACTTACATTTTACAATAAATGAGAATTTGAAAAATAACACATTTATAACTGACCTGCCAAAACGGGCTTTCCGGAATTTGAAGTACTTTTGGCAATTTACTTTTCACTTTTTATACCACAAATTACATATCTACGTGTTTACTATATTACAAGGAATATAAAAAAGTATAATACTTTCGTTTTTAGTCCAGACACAAATATAAAATTCTATAAAAAAGATGGAGCACCTTCAACAAAGTGACACGTGGAACGCCGGAAGTTCAGAGTGATTTCTTTTTTTTTTTTCTAAGAAACATTGCCAGGTTATGGTTTAAAATAAAAGAGCATATCTTTGTCTTTGATACTATTATCTATTGCATAGTGTCTTTGGTTTTGTTTTAATTAAAAAAATTATTTTTCAAAGGGTAGTACTTGTGGTACACATGTGTATCTTGATCGAGCGAGCGTACGATGTTTATGTTTGGTACACATGTGTATGCTAATCGAGTCTACAGTATATTATTAAATGAGAGGCTCATAACAATGAGTGGACTATAATTAGCTAATAAAGGAGAATTTTTTGTTTTTCTTTTACAACACATTTGTAACAACCAGATGACGTAAGCAGGTTTTTTTTTTTTTTATAGGATAGGGTGACAAACGAGCACACAGTTCGCCTGATAGTAAGTGGTTGCTGTGGCCCATAGACATCTACATCTGTTCTCGATTACGAATCAAAATCCAGATGTGATGTCACCCGTGAGGACTTAGATGGAATGCCTCGTTTCCAGCAGAAAGGGTCTCCGGTTCTCTACACTCACCATACGAAATACAGCAGCATTAAGCTACTATTTAACACTGGTATTCTGTGAGAGCGTGGTCCTTCCCCAGTCGAGCCGACCCATTCGTGTGGTGTTCAAAAATGAAAGCAAGTGCCTCAGGATTATAATGTATTTCTTAAAATTAAAACATTAATGATAATAGTTACGATTTAGGATTAAAAAAATCTTCATCAAACAGAGATGGTAAAATTAATAAAAATTGTTTCAGACCTCAACACATTCATGAATATAAACTAACTGCATACAGTTTATATGCTGCAGTGTCAGTGGGCCTGCAGACTGGAGACATTATTGAATATTTGCAGAGATTAAGTAAATGCTCAGTTCCTGCTGGCATAATAGAATTTATTCAGCTTTGTACATTGTCATATGGGAAAGTGAAACTAGTACTTAAGCACAATAGGTAAGAGTTGCACACACACACACACACACACACACGCACGCACGCACGCACGCACGCACGCACGCACGCGACGCACACACACACACACACACACACACACACACACACTTTTTTTTTTGAAAAAGTCTCACTTTTAGAAAAAGGACTACTTATGCAGTTGAAATGAGCTAAAAATGTTTACTTAGATCAGGTTGTAATAAAAAAGATTCATTAAAATCTGTTTATAATAGTTCGCGAATATATCGCATAATATAAGGCTTTCATAAATTACGCACCCTAATTCTCCACCAGCGCGCCTCGTCGGTTATGCAAGACCGATGGGACGAGAAAAAACGTTCACCCCAAAGCACCTGTTTTTTCAGCCTCAATCACGAACCTGGTCTATGGTTCCATTGCCAAACATTTAGTGCATCGTTAATGATGTTTCATAATACCAACCGCTTCTCATCCCGCCATCGCAACGTAAAGTTAACATCGAAAAGAAACCACAGATCATGATCAATTTAATCCACAATTATTATTTTTACTTATGAGTTTATGTCAGAAACAGTTTAAAAATGATTTTTTGACATTATTTATAGATATTTAGTAGAAAGTAAGCATGTAGAAGTGCTCCAGAAGTTGCTCAAAGATCCTGTAATCCAGCAGTGCCGTCTTCGACGGGACGGTGAAAATGAGCTGATGTCATCGGCTCTCCCTAACAAACCTGCGGGAGTCACATCTAAACCTGGTAATTTTATCAAAATATAAATAAAATATATAACAGAATATTTGTGTCTCTATAATGTTCAAAATAAAGCATTGAACACCCAAGTCATTGAATGTTTATGTTGCAGTGTATTAGATGAAGGATTATGCTCATTCAGAGCCTTGGTAGCTCAGATAGTTAACGCTCGCTGTAAATATAACAGAACGCGAGTAACCCGGGTTCGATCCCCGACGGTACCAATGAAATTTTTAATGCAATTTTAAGTGCTAATTTTCCACGTGCACGGCGGTGAAGGAAAACATCGTGAAGAAACCTGCATGTCTGAGAAATAAGAAAAAAATATTTCGAAGTCACGTGAAGCTCGCCAACACGCATTGGGGCAGCGCGACACTTCCTTGTCCTAAAACTCTCTCAGAAATAAGGGGAGGCCCGTGCCCAGCAGTGGGACGTATATAGGCTGTAACTATATTTTTTACTCTTTATGCTCATTCAGAATACAATGTAAAATAGCAACACAATGCTGCTGTTTCTTATGGTATTTGATGAGAAGCGGAGATCCATTTTTACTGGCAAAATGGTATTCTCTTATATCTTGGTCAACAGGGGTGACAACGCATTTACTTTTTGATTCTAAATCGAGAATAGTTGAAGATGTCTATGGGCTACAGCACCCACTTACCATCAGATGCTTGTATGTCACCCTTACTACTCATACCTTAATTGTTGCGTTATGAATACAAAGCTTAGTGGGACAAAGTGCCCCAATAATTTTTATAATTTTTCTTACTAATACAGCAAATATTTGTATTATTACTAATTGTCATGATACTATGTGTTAAGAAATATTTGTTGCTACCAGGTGAAGAAAAACCCATCACAAATGGTGCTGTGCCAGAAGATATCAGCCAGTTCTACCAGCAACTTGATAAAGATGATGAAGAGGATGAAACTACAGATATAACTGCTAACACGGCTGTAGCCTTTGAAGTCGACCCTGATAAAATAGAGGTACTTCCACACCATCACCACAACATTATGGTGACTTAATGAATTTCATAATCTCAAATCCTCCCGTAAAAATTGATCAATTCTGATAAAATATTTTGTGTGTGTTTGAATGAGTGAGTCCCTGGATAGATTCACAATGGGACCCGGTAGGTGAAGTTGTTGTGAAGATCCAAAAACCAGAAGCCGGGTCATATCGCTTCTAAAATATAAAAGTAAAAAATAAATTGGACTAATTCTTGGAATTACCTTTAAGGATTAAGTAAAACGTCTGCTAAGTTTCCCACAAACCTTTATTTGAAATAGTCTATGTAAAGCAGTGAATTACAGACCTATTTATATTTTTCATATATTAAATATCAACCATAGGTGGTATAAGAAAATCTACTACCTCGTATCATTTCGTGGGTATCGCAAATGAGGACAAGAGAGAAATGATGAACTTGGAGTGTGCAGTGGCTATCAACTTGCCTGCAAAGCTTGGTAACTAGCAAATCAGTCCATCAGCAGTGGACTTTTTAGACTGTAATGATGATGATGAAAGATCTATAATATCTTTGCATTTTAAAACTAGTAACATAGTACATACAAATATAATTTCAGGTAATTCAGAAGCGGTGCATAGAATTGGAGCATCCACTATTAGCAGAGTATGATTTCCGCAATGATTCTGTCAATCCGGACATTAATATTGACCTTAAGCCCACTGCAGTGCTACGACCCTACCAAGAGAAAAGCCTTAGGAAAATGTTTGGTAATGGACGGGCAAGGTTTGTTGAGATACAAATTTTAATGATAATTCATTAATTATTTAATACAGTTTCAGTAGTAAGGGTGTATTACTCGTAAAACTCTAACATCAAACTCAAAAACCAAAACTTGTACACTTAGGATAATAACAAGTAATCGTGTTTCGTGTTCATGTACATTACCTACATACGTAACAGCCTATCAATCATCCGCTGCTCACCATAGGCCTCTCCCAGGATATTATTGCCTCATAAAGAGGATTTTTGCCATAGATGATAGGCTTTTTTTTATTATTTTGAATTGTTAAGAGGAGATGTTGTTGCCCATCTACTGTTTAAGTTGCCCTCTGTCGCCCCTTACGGTACCTATGGGATGGTATGGGTAGTGAATTTTCTTAAACCGAAAATACGTGGCTAAGCATATGTCCCTATATTTGCTTGATGTGTCTGAAAATGACAAGGTGTAAAGGTACGAAAAAGGTAAACATTACAAAATAGCGGGTAAGCATTTTCGCCTGTATTGGACATTTAGTATTCAAATAACTGTTGTTATAATTGTTATACTATGTGCCAAATGAATTAACAATTCAACCTGGAACATAGAAGGCCATCAATCAGTGAAATCAAAGCAATGGAGTAAAAGGGTGTTACCAAGCCAAGCATTCATCTAAGTGCTCGCACACGCAGAACACGCGGGCGCGTAGGCGGCAGAGGGCGCGGTAGTTTGGGCGAGCACGTGTTCACATTCGACACCAGGCGTTTGTGCGAGTGTGACGTGTTGTCAGAGGTTGTGAACATGGACGACGATCTTTTATTTTTAATCGAAAATTCTTACTTGAAATTAATAAAGAAAGAGAACGGTATGGCTAATTTCATACCTTACACAATAATTTGAGAGAATATCCTCCAAGAATTTTTGGTTTACCATCCCGATATCTGTCGTTGATCTTATCTGAAGTCGCGCGTCAATCGCACGCCCCGCCGCTGGTTTGATGTGAACACACACAAATGACTTCACATGTTTGTTAATTCCGCGAACGCTCCGCACGCGCCTGCCGCCTACTTGCCCGCTACTCCCACCGCACCTGCATTTTGTACATGAACACTTGCATATTACAAATGTGTTTGATATTTCGTGACCGTACCCGCGAGCTAACATGAACAAGCACTAACGATGGTAATCATATAAGTGTGTATACATGAAAAAGAAACTAAATGTAGTGCTAGGATTACATTTTCTTTAAGTATGATTTTGAGTCTTAATTAGAGATAGGCCGAATATGGATTTCACCGAATACGAATATTCGGCCGAAAGTTTAATAAAACTTTTACCGAACTGAATATTCGGCCTAACATTATTCGGCAGGATCACCTTGATACCTAACCAATTTATGTCGAAACTTGTTACCCTAAACCGGCGCCGGACACTGATGCGCCAATCCTTATGTTTTGACTATTTTTGGGGGGAAAAAAGTATTTCGTTGTGTTATTCTTAGTGAAAATTGATAATTATATAATACAAATGAGTGGCAGGAGATCTAATATTTGGAATTATTTCAGCGAAACTGACGATCAAGTACCTCTGTAATTGAAATAATACTAGTTTTTACGGAATTTATCGCGTATATTTTAACTTTTTAAATACCCGACGTTTCGAACGCTTTACAGCACTCATGGTCACGGGCAGGACTGAGATGTTCAACATCCATATGTCATAGTTAACCGTGGTTACCATAGATTAAACCTACGTCACAGTGAACGAGTGAAGCCGGCCACAGTCGAGCGTGTACCTGCTGTACTGCCATATGTTAGAGGAGTCACTGACAAGATTGGCTACATCTTGAAGCGCGCTTCCATCAAAACATACTTCAAGCCGCTGAAGAAGATTGGTCAGTTTTTACCATCGGTCAAGTGTAATGTCCCTCTGCAAGATGCAGGAGTGTACAAGCTTGATTGTGAATGTGGTCTCTCCTACATAGGACAAACTAAAAGATCAATAAAAACCCGCGTTAAAGAACATATAGCTGATGTGAAGAATCGACGCTCCGGGAAGTCTGCAGTCTGTGAACACGTACAGGATCGCCCCCGTCACTACATCAGATTTGATAGACCGCAGATCCTCGCTAAAGAACACCGATTCCTTCCAAGGATGATTCGCGAGGCTATTGAAATCAAAAAACATCCTAATTTCTATAGAGAAGATGGCTGGGTGCTACTATCTGCTTGGGATCCTATAATAAATAAAATTAAATCCCAACCCAAGCATACAACTGCAAGACTTCAAGATACCATAAGTTCATACTGCATAGATCGGAACAAAAGTTAAATTTTAATCTATGGTAACCGCAGTTAACTATGACATATGGACGTTGAACATCTCAGTCCTGCCCGTGACCATGAGTGCTGTAAAGCGTTCGAAACGTCAGGTATTTAAAAAGTTAAAATATACGCGATAAATTCCGTAAAAACTAGTATTATTTCAATGTGTAGTGTTCGCGTAAATATAAGAAATCAGTACCTCTGTAATGTAATGTTTCTTTGTTTGATTTCAAAAACATTTTATCAAGCTTTCTATTAGCTATAATTGGAAATAAATCTACAGTGCCTCAAAAACATAACTCTATACAAGTAGATTTAACCTATAAATAAAATATACTTTCAACAGTAAAATTGTGAAAGATATGGCATTACTCAATTTGTACATTTCAATACAGTGTACACTGAGTACCACTTTAACGAATGTTCCGTGATTTATCCGAATATTCGGCCAAATATGAATATACACTAAAACTGCCGAATATGCCGAATACCGAATATGAAACTAATATTCAGCCCATCTCGAGTCTCAATTGTGTTAAATTCACCACAATGCACGCGTTGTTGCTGCTTTAAGTCTGAGCAATATTTCTTCTACTTTATTTCTAAATTTCTCTTAACCATGACGCTTAGGAAGCTTATTAGTGATCGTAGTATCTGATGTCTCCCTAGTTTGACGTTGCTTTCCGTCACCAGTCTGTTCATTTTACATCTAGCAACAAGATGATGAAGTCCCGTTACCTATCTATAGGTAGCAAAGGGTGCTTTCTGGAATTTTCTATAGTCGCCTATTAGAGCTTAGTGTACCAAATGCGATGATGAATTTTCTTAGGCCGCAACCACACCCCGTTTATTTACACAACCAATTATACTTAAGTTAAAATTTTTGGTGGCAGGTCAGGAGTGATTGTGCTGCCGTGCGGCGCGGGCAAGTCGCTGGTGGGCGTGACGGCCGTGTGCACGGTGCGCAAGCGCGCGCTCGTGCTGTGCAACTCCGGCGTGTCGGTGGAGCAGTGGAAGCAGCAGTTCAAGTGCTGGTCCACCGCCGACGACAGCATGATATGCAGGTACCCGACCAACGCGCTCTGAGTACGTTGCTAATGTCTCGGGTTGATACTCCAATTCGGAGCCAGTATTTTTACAGTAATTCCAAATGTTGGTTTATGTGTCTTATAGTGTTGTGAATGTTCATTGATGATCATTATTACAGCACTCACACGTCCACTGCCAGATTCCTCTCAAGGAATGCAACAAAACATCTTGAGACACCTGCCTCCATTGACTTCTTGTATTTTTCAACATGCTATCCCTCCATTTGGCAGGAAGCCACTCTCTATTATCATGTAAAGGTTGTAGGGTTAGTGTGTTTTTGAAGTGAAAACTTCTTTAGCGCCGTTGTACACTTTTTTGTAATGGGTAAAAAATGTTAAACTCGCGTCAGGACATGTGACCCTGATCGAAAATTCGTAAGACGGATGGAGAAAGAGAGACAGCCGGCGCGGCGTAGGAGAGGAAGTATCCCCCTCTCTTTCTACGGCGTGCGAAAATGTATGCCTGCGCCTGCTGTTTCGTTTAGGCTACGCAGGGCACTTGCGCGTATGTTCATGTGTGATAATTAAAGCAATTCGTGCAAAATTATTCCCTAATCATTCCAAAATATCAAGAATGCACAACATTAATACTCAAGTTTTCACTTCTGCCGCTACTCCCGGAGTGCAACCCGTCGTTTTTTTTATTCTTCTCATTCCATCAGAAATGAGAGGAATTCTGTGCAACAACGTCTCAACATTAGGACGTATATAGACATGTGGCGACATGCACCTTTCTATTTTTGTTTATGTTCGTATCGGTTGCTGTCGGGAATGCTCGGCTACGTTCGGGCCGCCTTCGTGACGGCCCGGGCGTCTTCAGTTTTCCCGGCAGTCTGCATTGAAACGGCCTCAGAGTTAGACCTCACGCTTTGCGCCGCCGGAGTAACGGTTGCCATTCAAATCGCATAAATCTATTTTTGGCTTGCATATTTTAAATGTCTTTTGTACATTTAATTAATTGTATGTAGTCTTAATTTCTCTTGTTTTGTGCTGTAATATTTGTGTTGCAAACTGTCCTTTGGTAAAAAGAAAACCATTATATTCTTGAAAGAGTGAAAGGCGTTTCCATCATTGCCCGGCGTAACCTCCCACAGACAGACTAAGGCCCGGTCAAAACGTACAGGTTCACATCGGAGGCGAAGGACAAGCCGATGGGCGCGGGCATCCTGATCACGACGTACAACATGATCACGCACGGGCAGCGGCGCTCGTGGGAGGCGGAACAGACCATGAAGTGGCTGCAGGCGCAGGAGTGGGGGCTGGTGGTGCTGGACGAGGTGCACACCATCCCCGCGAAGATGTTCCGCCGCGTGCTCACCATCGTGCACTCGCACGCCAAGCTCGGTGCGTGTTAACCTCACCCCACACGTTTCCAACATAACACTTTGAAATTGTAAAGTAGGCTATGATGCTGCTAATGAGATGTGAGATCTCATTCACATAACACAACTTGAAAGAAAAAACATTCATGTTTTTGCACAAAAGGCTTTTCAGTTCGTATTTAAAATCAGGATCTATGGCGTACGAATTAGGTACTGACTCCAAAATACGCAGTCACCTCTCTTATTAATGTGTATATTCTTCCTCATTAATCCATTAATAGTCTTATGCAGGACATAAGCTTCTTTTACTTTTTTTATAGATTGGGATGACAAACAAGCACAATCCACCTGATGGTAAGTGAATGCTGTGGCCTATAGACATCTAAATTTATCTTCGATTAAGTATCAAAATGCATATGCGTTGTCACCTATGAGGACTACGATGGAATGCTTCGTTTCCAATAAAAGGGTCTCTGGTTCTCTACACTCACCATAGGAAACACAGCAGCATTACGCTGCTGGTTTACGCTGGTATTCTGTGAGAGCGTGGTCCTTCCCCAGTCGAGCCGACCCATTCATGCTACAACCAAACACAGCTGCAGTATGGCTCTACCACGTAAAAACTTTAATATCTTTCTTAAATTCGTACTTTAGCCAAATGTAACCTGGAATAGTGTGTCTAAATATTATTGTAACTGTTCTTTTTATGGCGATATAAGAATATCCACTACCCCATATCACCGTGTGTAAAAGACGATAAATGAAAACTGAACCAGGGTATGGACGGGAGCACCTTCCTTTCAGCTGAATAAAAAAACTGCTGTTACCAAACGCAGCTACTATGGCAAATATCCCCTCTATTTATTTATTTATTAGGATTACCAACAGAAATTACAATAGTAATACGAAGATTATTTTCACAACATATTAAGCACATTATAATTGTATTTCTTTTTATAGGTAATCACAAAATGCATTGATTATTTAGTGAATGAAAGGATTATAAGAAAAAAAAACTGAATTACATCATGGAACAAATAAATTATTAAAAAGAAATAGAATTATTTAACAATATTATAGATAACTTCATTATCATATTAAATTACATTAATCACATTATAGAAAACAAAAACAACTCCAATAAATACTTATGACTACTATGAATCAATAGATTTTATACGCTATAATTGTAATGGTTATTATCGTAATTGTAATGTTGACGTGTCACAGGGCTAACGGCGACGCTGCTTCGAGAGGACGACAAGATAGCAGACTTGAACTTCCTGATCGGTCCGAAGCTATACGAGGCGAACTGGCTGGAGCTGCAGGCGGCCGGCTACATCGCCCGCGTGCAGTGCGCCGAGGTTTGGTGCCCCATGACGCCCGAGTTCTACCGCGAGTACCTCATACAGAAGTTAGTGCTCTCACGCTTGAACTTCACCTTGCTCATGACGATGATCTCCCGGCTGGTTAGGATCATCGTGATCAGTCATCGGCATCACACTTAACACTTTAGTTCACTTTATTTCGCTCCGAAGTTTCGCTCCTATCGCCAATTCAATACTGCCCGGATCGCGGCTTGCAGCGGCTTTAAATACACCTTTCCACCGAAACATCCAGAATGTTCTAGCAAATACCGTTACCGACCGACTAAATGCAGAGAGTTCGAGAGTGGACCCTTCTAGAAAACTTAATTCTTCGTTTCGATACTAGATGGCGCTGTTGGTGGAAAGTTCAAGATTGGCATTTTCTAGGAAGCTCTCCTCGCTCTGTTCCCCGACACTAGATGGCGCTAGTGACAGGTACCAGTCATCAACTTAGGCGCGCAACAGTATTATAGTGGCCAAGCGTAATGCGAAAGCACAGGGCACTCTGTACCCTCACTCTCTTAGCCCGAGGGGACGGCAACCCGACGCGACCGGAGATCAGGCATAGGGGCAACGGTAACGCACACAGACTAGTAGTGATTCTTAGCCTGGCAACACATTTTTTGGTCTTGGATTTTAATAGTTGTGTGCCTAAGCTTGCCACTCAATTTAATAAAAATAATACATACATCCATACATACATACATACACATCATACAAAAAAAGGAATAGAATGTAAACAAATATAGTATTCCAATAATCAGCAGTCTAGACTTGCTTCAACTGTCAGAAGGAGTCCGTGACAGTGCGCGCAGGTCACAAGTAGCAAAGCAAGGCGCCGACGTTATCAAAACTTGCGTTCACTTTATTTCACGATTTAGATTCGCCGCATTCTCTTTAAAACCTAACAGGATTTCATTTACTGTATGTTAAATATAAACTGCTCAGGTCTGCTTTTTATTATCCACAGAATAAACAAGAAAATGTTACTGTACGTTATGAACCCGTCGAAATTCAGAGCATGCCAGTTCTTAGTTCGCTATCACGAGAAGCGCGGGGATAAGACAATTGTGTTCTCGGACAATGTGTTCGCGTTACGTCACTACGCCGTAAAAATGAACAAGCCGTACATCTACGGCCCGACGTCACAGAGTGAAAGGATACAGATTCTGCAAAACTTCAAATTCAATCCGAAAGTGAATACAATATTTGTAAGCAAAGTTGCTGATACAAGTTTCGATCTCCCAGAAGCCAACGTGTTGATACAGATTTCATCTCACGGTGGTTCTCGCAGACAGGAAGCCCAAAGATTAGGTAAATTTTGCTTAATACCAAGTATTTTCATCAGTAGAATTTTTGCCTATATTTTATATAATCTCTTTATATTATAAGTTACATATGAATAAATATCACTTATGAATTTATTGAATAATGTTTTGTCAACTTCAGAGAACCTTTCTATGTTGTAGTACGAACGGATTGGCTCGACTGCGGAGGACCACACTCTAACAGAATACCGCGTAAAATAGCAACTTAATTCTGTTGTGATTTTGTTGAGTATAGAGAGCTGGAGACACTTTTTTCATTCATAAGTATTTTGATTCTTAATCGATGATAGATGTAAATGTCTATATTTCTATAGGCCACAGCATTCACTTACCATTAGGTGGACTTTATTCTATAAAAAAACATTCAACATCTCTGATGGAGTGGTATATTCATATTATAAAATATTTTAGCCATAAAACATCTTTCTTTCTTTCCTTCATAAAATTTGACGAGTGGGGGCTGAAAGAGGCCAATGACTGGGTCCAGGGTGTAAGATGCAAGGGATCAGCAACATTTCATACGTGGTAGAGCCAAGCTGCAGCTATATTATTGTTGTACCACGAATGGGTCAGCTCGACCGGGGAAGGACAACGCTCTCATAGAATACCAGCGTAAAATATTCGTATAGTGAGTATAGAGATCCGGAGATCCTATTTTACTGGAAAAGAGGCATTCCATTTTAGTCCTCATGGATGACAGACAACGCATCTGCGTTTTAATTCTTAATTGAGGATAAATGTAGATGTCTATGGGCTACAGCATCCATTTACCATCAGGTGGACAGATTATATCAAATTCTGCAAGCTACTTTGTGAAGACCATAAGGAATAAGAACAATTTCATTGAAAAATACAGAGAAAAATTCTAAAAAGCATTTGCTTATACTCCATTAAACAAAATACCACCTTTTTTTAAAAAGAAAAAACAATGTTTAATCTCTTTTTAATATATAAATTACACATGGATTGTTTACAGGTCGAATTCTAAGAGCTAAAAAAGGTGCACTGGCAGAGGAATACAATGCATTCTTCTACACGCTTGTATCTCAGGACACTCTAGAAATGGCGTATAGCCGGAAGAGACAACGTTTTCTCGTAAACCAAGGATATAGTTATAAAGTGAGTAGATAGATTACTCATGCATTTTTATTTACAAGCCTTGTTTTTATTGACATGAATTATTTCAATCTCAGGTGATAACAGAATTAAAGGGGATGGATCAAGAGCCTGAACTGTTCTATGGTACTCGGGAAGAACAGGGAATGCTGTTACAACAGGTAAGTAATTAGTTCATCTATCGTGATAAAACAGCTCAAAATACTATATAGGGTTATTTTTCAAAGAGTAGCCAAATTTTAAACTTAAGTTCAAATATATAAATGCAACATGTGTAACAATTCTTTTTATAAAACTAAATTGACGAATTTACCTGATGTTAAGTGGCTACTATAGTCCATTCACTTGCATTTTACTTTAAACAAAGAACGCTAAAGATGAGTTGTCACCTCTGACAACTGAGATGGAATGTAATTAGTAAAAAAGAAAAGACAGCGTGTAATTGTACCCATCAGTTCACAACACAGCTGTGGTGGCCGAAATAGGTGTGCGAGTGGTGCCTGCACAGATGGGCAGACGTTTGAATTAATTTTAACATCTTTTATATTTTCTTTTATTTATCTGTTATTAAATTTAGATTTAACTAATAGGATGAATAGCTAGCTTTTAACTATACGAGCAACTATAGAACTACATATTCAACATAAATTTTGATGACCATTACAATGGTGATTTTGATGGTATTAGAATAAACTAATGGTACTACAGTTGGTTATTACTAATTACATATGTGGTAGAGCTATGTTGCAGCTATATTAGTTGCAGCAAGAATGGGTCAACTCGACTGGAGAAGGACCACACTCTCAAAGCAGACCAGCATAAGATAGCAGCTTAACATTGCTGTGTTTCGTACAGTGAGTGTGGAGAACCGGAGACCCTTTGTACTAGTAATGAGGCATTACATCTTAGTCCTCAGGTCTGACGACGCATCTGAACTTTGGTGTGGCAGAAAAAAGGTAGGTGGCTTTTTGAGTAGAGTTTATAAGTTTTTTTTTGCAATATTAGTTTTAAGTAATATAATGAGTGATATTATGTTATTAATTCATGATTGGTAAGTTTTTAATATGATATTTATTATTTTAGGTAGTCCCTGGTTAAAACATTCTAGAGGGTAGGTTACAAGGCTTGCTAGCGTTTTTTCCCAAAGGAAGATAAATGTTGATGTCTATGGGCCGCAGCATCCAGTTACCATCAGGTGGATTGTAAGCTCGTTTGTCACTCTTATTCTATATTAAAAAAGGTTACTACTTCGAACCAAGTACACTTACAATCATCTTCTAACCAAAAAAGTTACAGATGCATTGCCACCCATGAGGATTAGAATGAAATGCCCTAAGGCTTCTTTGAACTGGAACGCGAGTGCAAAAAATGTGAATTGTCAAACACACTGTTAAGCTATTTATAGTTATATTACGACTGTTGCACTAGTGGGTCGACTTTATCTAAGAAGTACCAAGTGCTCACATTATATACGCGTAAAATAGCAGTATAATGCTTCTATATTTCGTATAGTGAGTTATAGGAACCTGAAACTTTTTATTAGTAACGAGGCATTCGTTAATTTGTTACAACACTTCAAAGTTCACTTCTGAAGATAGGTCTCCTCCATAGATTATCCCCCATAGATAGGGGGGATAATTTCCATAGTTGCCTTATTTTTTTGTTATTAACGTCTGTTATCAGGAATACACTGTTGCCAGTCACATATTTCTAAGTGCTGTTCAAATAGGTGGCCCATATAAGATACCTAGGTCATAAATGCCAGATACTCAAACGCTGCTCAATTTTAAGATTTTAAGTAAAAGTAACTGTAACACTTCGAGACTTAACGACATCTTAAACTTGAAAATTTCGATTACCTCTTAAGTAAATTAAACTTAACTATAAAGCGCTATCCTCGAATTCCTAGCAAGACATTTTACTTGCAAATTTATATGAATAATACTTCCTTTTATAGCCCTATAATAAGAATGTGTCGACTTTATGACAAGATATCTAATAAAAGCTTTGGCTTGAATATTTTTGACCCAAGATCCGGGATATTCAAAAGAGCAGTAAAACAGCTTACACTTATACACACTCATTCCCATATCACATGTTGTTTGTTAAATTTAATTTGTTGTACTATGTAGTTATTTTTGTTATATTAAATTAAATTTGTTGTATAACATACATTATAAATATTGTAAAGCGTAGAGTTAATCTATCCGGCAGTAAATATAAAAATGTGTCAACATATTGAGCACTCAGAATACAGAAAAAATTAGAAGCCGCGTTCAGCTGTTACATGCCGCACACTGTGTCCCACTCCCCACCCGCGTAATATTGCTAGCTTTATACAGACACAACAACAACAAATAGACAGTTTATACAGTACTTACCGCTTTTTGGAGTAAATGGTGATACATTAGAGGTAAGATAATAATGATAAAATCATAATTATGCATTTCTAAACGTATTAATTTTATATAAATAATAACATCCGGAAATTAAAATAAGTGATTTAAATAATACACGGTTTCAATAAGGTCTTTTAATCGTTCAGTTTTCTTTTTTATGAGTAAGCTATTTAAATATTGTCTTTTAGAATTTGAAATAATTATCAGAAAATTACATTTAGATAAATAATAAAAAGCTCCTTTCTTAAGTCTTTACAAACCTCGCTTTTGCCCGTGTTCTTTGTATTATATTTGTCCCCTCTGTTTTCCTTTTTTTATGTAATTAATTGCAAAAATAAACTTTTATTTCTTAATCCAAAAAATTTATTAGCGATGGAAATGTCCATATATTATTTTGCTAGAAAAACTCCTATTCAACGAATTTAAAATAATGATACTAAGTAATCAAGATACCGAAATAATACTAGATTTTACAGATTTTATCGCGTATATTTAACTATAAATACCCGACGTTTCGAGCGCTTTACAGCACCCATGGTCATGGGAGGGGCTGAGATGTTCAACGTCCAAATGTCATAGTTAACAGCGGTTACCATAGATTAAAATTTAAATTATGTTCCGATCTACACAGTATGAACTTGTATCTTGAAGTCTTGCAGTTGTATGCTTGGGTTGGGATTTAATTTTATTTATTACTAGCTGTTGCCCGCGGCTTCGCCCGCATGGTCACTGGGAAATGAACTATCCATTGCTTTTTGAATTGAAAGAAAACTGAGTTTTATAGATTTGTCAGAGATGCAGCCATTAAAAGGAAACTGAGCAAAATTGATTCGTCAGCCTATTTAAATGTTTTGAAACGCAGCGTATAGGAAAGCATGAAAATAGCCTGTTTATTCCAAATGGAAATGGGATATTTTTTTAATTAAAGGAAACTGAGCATAATTATCCGTCAGGGATGCAGACTTTTGAAAAGAAACTGAGCTAAATTGATTCGTCAGAGATGCAGTTTTCTGAATTGAAAGGAAACTGAGCCAATTAAAAGATCCGTCAGAGATGCAGCCTTTTTGAGTCGAAAGGGAACTGAGCTTAATAGGTCCGTCAGAGGTGCAGCATTTGAAATTAAAAAGAAACTGAGCTAAATAGAAAATTTTGAATTGAAAGGGAAGATCTGTGGGAATTCTGATTAAGAGGTTAGAGTAAGTCAGCTCAAATTCTAATTTCGCCCCCACTTCCCCGCGCGTCGTATGCTATGTACCGAAATATTTGTAATCACTAATACTGTAAGTAGAAAGGTCGTTAGACACTTATTTCATTAGGTTTATCATATTTATGCCTGTTTCTTAAAGCCAAGCCAGCCGCTTCTTATTTTTATCACGGTTATTTCCCATTTTAATTTTACGTCGTACTGTTGCGTAATGTATATTCTGATCGTAAGCGACACAACTTCTCCCTTCAAAAGCCTAAGCGATACTAACGGAACGACAGGAATCAAGCTCAAGACGCCGATAGTTTAGGTAATTTCTTTTTACAGTGAAAATAATGGTATTTTAAAAAAAGTAAATAACATAAGCACTGCTTTATAGTTAGTTCAGTTAGTATGCAAAGTTTCATGATCTTATTTAAAGTATTTTATGAATAACAGCGGTTTATTGTTTATTTTGGAGGTAACTTTGGATTTTTTTCTATCGAGAAAATTTTACGAAATCGTGTTTTCGTCTAACATAATCACTAACTATAATCCTCAACTTTACCATATATTTATTTCAAAATTAATGCTGCAATATTTTCGGCATAACGAAGGATCTTGCTAAGCCATTTGACACTATATTTCCCCTTAATTGATTGTGGGAATTTTGGAAAAAAACTAACTGAACACTATTTTAAGACGCTACTGTACACAATGTTATATGTTTTTCCATTCGGGGAAAGAATGTGGAGATTCTGGGCATTTGATACACGCGAACATGCTACATACAGCTGACCATGAGAGAAGCACGGTTTTTCTAAGTTGACCCCCGCTACCTGTAATCTTTACCCTTGCGCTTTATTAATTATCATTGCAAAACTGAGCTTAATAGGGAACTGCAACATTTTGAATTGAAAAGGAAGATCTGTGAGAATTATAGGGATCCGTGATATAATAACATTTTCACCTTTTCCTACGCCTGTCAAAATTGTAGCACCAATTATGTTCCGTCCGAGATGTGTCACACGCAGCCTTGTCCCGTTACATAACCGAGTAGTGCATCTAAATTTCGCATTAGCATGACTGGGACGCCTAATTTTAATTGAAGCTTATGTGAGGGCACACCTGACAACTCTAGAGAATTTAGAAACTCTACGGGATATGAAGTGCTCTGTTCTGTGTCCATTACTGTGTCTACTGACAAAGTTATTCTCTGCTACTTGCTTAATATATTGAATTAAGTTATTTTTGGTGAGAATGCCTTTCACCATTTGTCTTCATGCATGTTGTTCGTTAAATCTGAATAAACGCTCGAAATTAATTAGGAATGACTGTACTAAATTACAAAAATTTCTCGTCAATTTAACGCAGCCCTCAGCATCCGTTTCCAACCGCCCGTCGCCAATTTTTAATAGTGTGTCAGCATAGTTTCCAGCATTGATATCATTATACAAATGCACTCTCATATTCGTAGTTAAACTGAATTTTGTCACCTTGTTCCATAAAATAGACGACTTGAGGCATGCTTTAATTTCATCTGCAGGTGTGCCCTTTTGAATGACAGGTAAAGTTTGGC